TGAGTGAGTCATCGCCAATTCACTGCTGTGTGTATGTTAATTATGGCATATGGGCACGTTTCACTTCATTCGTCGTTAAACAATGTGCGGCTATAGCGATTAGCTGCGGATGATTCCAATCGTTACAATGCTTGACGGCGCTGTGTGCCGATAGAGTATGCAGAACGACCTCTCGCCCCCCCCCCTCTGTCTGTACGTCACGGATTCCTCTCCTTCCCGACTTCCTCACCAAGGGTAGAAGAGTCCGGTCACGACACCACCCGCTACAAAGCCACCGCTACCTAATTTACGTATCGATCGCCGGAATTGATGTTTCATTAAAGCAAGCGCCAAAAGAATAAAATGTAATTTGACGCGTTTCCATCTCATCGAGGGAAGAGAAAATTAGCTCTGTGGCGAACGCCACTACAGGCAGTTGGAACAAAGAATCAGCGTCAATTTCTGGGCGGACTGCGGTTGCGGGACATCAGACTTTTTCAGTTCTAACCTCCGCGTTTCTGGTCGATGGTGGAGCCACGGGTCGTTTGTTCACCTCCTTCTCGGATACGGTAGCATTCAGGGTGTGAAATGAATAAGTGGGACGATTTATTTGTAAAGGTAATACCGTATTTACAGGTCTCAGCCAATGAAGAGGCGTAGGCACTGTGACCGTTGTTACAGTCTACAAATTTTAATATTCAACTTGAGGGCAACACTCAAATCATGCTTTTAAAATGCTGTTCTGTTGTTTAGGGCTCCAGCGAATCAGCTGCGTCCGAGACTCGTAGCAAAGAATACAAAGAGGTGAGCAGACGCGAAACCGAAGAGCAGGCACGAGCTCAAATCGAAAATGCTAAGGTTCGTGACCGGCAAGTCAGTTACCTACCTGTGGATTTCATACTCCAATTTCTAGTACCAGCCCGTCGCGTTCGCCGTACGCACGAACGCAGCTTTCGACGGTTTGGTCGATGACGATGCTCCTCTGCTTGGTAAAGCTGTGTCCTTCGAAGTCAAGGAATTCCTGCACATCAAACTGGTCAGTGCTGCTCTGTGGTGTATGTGTCGCATCACTCATAGACATGGTCTCAGTAAAGCCTAAGAGAGAGTCTCAGAATTATTAACTGATTGATCTGTTTTAATAGTGTTGCAGAATTGAGTATTTAATTCATGCGTTGCAACTCATACTCTTGGATTCAGGCAGTAGGAACGAACTTCTTCGTATCAAAACTATGAACCGAGCTGTAATGAAAATCAACAATCCCCCCCCCACAATTCGTGCCCTGATGAATCCTCCTTCCTAACACAGTCTTCGTTTGCTTTCGATGGGTATTAATTATGGAGGGCGAAAGAAGTTGTTCAATTGGATGGTTCACTAGTACCAGCATTTTGGTTCATGGTCCACTCCCTTTCTTCAAGCTTAAGGGGTGAGTGGGCTTCAGCATAGACATTTCGGTGGTCTGCAGCTAATCGTAAGTTGAAAGCTGAGAAGCATATTTCTAGAAGCCATATAGTTCACCATCCACTATTCCCTTCATGACAATGACGATCCTGGCCCTCGCAGGTCAGGGTAACTCTACAACTGGGATTCCGAGCGTTTAACGTCCAAATCATATAGCACTCGGTGTACTCATTGGAATTCTGCCATGTTGCCTGTCTCACCCTCGATACCTCAATCAACGTCCAATGAGATTTTCAAAATCACTATTAAAATGCTTTAAAAATCACGATTTTTTTGACAGACAACTACGTTATTTAAAATGGTACGAAAGACACTGTTGTATGCGTGTTGCTTTCCGGATTTGCGCGGCGTATTCGCTCATCGTAGAGCTTCTACTGGCAGAAGCGACCCCTGAAGCTCTCTACATCTTTGTGGCACCTGAACACCTATAGTGATTGCAACATGTAATCAGATTACTGTGTTGGGAGATGTAAGAATAGTGGCCTGTTCGAGCGCCAATTAAAAAATGCCTTTTCCCGTATCATGTATACGTTACCGTCCAAACCGGCATCGTCATAAACTGAATTATTACCCACGTGCCAGCCTTTCACTACGACAGCTTAATTGCCTGTTGCTACGGTATGAGCGCTTAGCATTCGATCCAGGTGTCAAAGTAACAATATGCTATGAATCAAGCCAATATGGCGAAAGTAATTATGCAACTTTTTCCTTTCACAAGAAAAAATTCTTTCACGTTGGCTAGGATATCCGTATAACTTATGGCGACGTGATGAAAGATTTTTGATTTCATATTTCAATAACTAATATCGGATCCATTTGGCGCTAGCATACAGCCTCTTGGTTCTAGACGCCCAAAGGAACCATTTAGGCAGCCAGCGCTTCCATGGTACTTAAGCATCTGCATTACATTGGATGCGAGACCGCATCTCTGAGCTAATGACGCATTAACCATCCTTGCTATTGTTATTTTCGTTCGTACTCGAAACCGGCTTTATTTTGCCCAACTAAGAGATGTTGTCTTTTACCCGTTAAATTACAGGAACTTGAATGCCACGGGGCAGCGACCTTCTTAAATTGCCCATTTATGAATCTAGTGAGCAGCGTAAGTCAGCTATTATGTTTTTAAATGTTATAATTACCGGTGGATATGGTAATCTACTCTTTGTGGCAGCTACCCCAAAGAATTATGGCTACCATTGGCCATTTAAGTAGTCCATAATCAATCAAACAATCACCGCAGAATAGGAGCGATACAGATACAGATACCTTATCCAAACTTCTGGCTCGGAAGTCATCATCAGGGAAGTTCAAAAGCAATAATATTTAGGTAAAAATTTTCCTTCATCATCGTCACATTCAGGCTTACTCCGCGCAGTCAAAATATCTAAGATTTGCCTGATGTTTCGTTCATATTCGATCTATATTCAGGGACCACGGTACTCACATCGTAATTATCAACGTGCGAGGATAATAACAAAATTTTCAAGGCAGTCCAACGAGTTGTTTGTTCGTTTGTGTTGCGTTTGTCACACGGTCCTTAGCAAGAATAGAGTGGGATTCGAAATGTCGATACTTTGATTTTGTGCAATGAACCCACTTGTCATCACACTGCCTCTTTTGTCCGATGTGTTCTCGTTGTGGCAGCGCCACGAACGCAAGTCGACGTTCCTGCGATCATTTCAGCTCTCTGTCGCCCGCTACCGCCACTGGCCAAGTAATCTAATAATCAGGACCAATCGGCGAGGTGATACGTCGAATCATATGTAATATTCAGATCAACAGAGTAATCTTCACTTATTTTCCCGATGTTGTTTTTTTCTAGGACATTTGTAGTTGAGTAGTTTGTCCGGCAGCTTCCCTCACCTTCACTCAGCCCAGTCGATTCAGGGGCAGAGTGAAGCACCTCACGTGGTCTTGGTGACGGCAGCAGAATTACAGCAAAAATATGAACAGACTAAATTACGAAAAGAGAATTACAATCTGCAAAAAAAAATGAAACGAACCCTACGAAGGAGGGTGAGGGTTGAGTAGTTATAACGATTGATTTCAATAGTTTTTTGTTTTAACATGTTCATATTGGTGTTTGCTGAAAGCAGCGAAATTCTCACCAGCAATTGCATTCTCGCTTCAACACACCTCGAAATATATTCTTTGATATTGTTGACTATCAGCGAAGTGCTTAGCGATATGTCACAGAATCGGCCATTAAAAAAGTATACCAAAGGTTAAGATGGAAAATTCCACTACAATGGATGCTCAACTCCATATACGGCCTTCAACCTCGTTTCTCACAAATACGGATTCTTTAACTCCCTTATTTCTCTTGCTCCCTGCTCTGAAACATATCTCTTGGAGATGGTTTTGAGAATTCTTAATGAAGCTCCAGACTCTCTGGGAATTATTTAGTGTCAGAAATTAAAGTATTTCCCAGGGAAGTCTGACGTTGTTGTCAGATCAGTGACAAAGTCGTTTTTGGGTTTACATTAGAAAACACTTTTAATCTCATATGACACCAATGAAAGAACACTCAGATGCCATGTTAAGACGAACCATCCTGAGCATTTTGGGATTGAAGCATATTCCCTAAGGATTCAAGCATAATTCAATTTTGGAGAAATCAAATTCCTTGATTGTTCAAAGCGCAGGCTTGGATTATTTGACAGTTCGTACATATTTCGTTAGAGAACGAAGTAGGACGACGTGATGATTGATTTCTTTTCAGTTGATTCGATTCTATAGTCTGCAACAGAATGTGAAAGAAAT